CCATTGTTAAGCAGAAGACAAGCAAGGGATAGAGAAATGCAAGAAGCTTGGGGTGGTTTAGACCTTGGTAACTCTATTCGACCGAGTCTATCAAAACTTGAAAGAGAAAAGGTTAGTTTTATGTTTGTTTGAAAGAAACAAATCTCTTCTTTTTTTTTTTCCATTAACAATAGCAATCATTTGATATGTTTGTTCTCTCATTTACAGGCTGCTTGGAATAAGGCTGAGGAAGAAGAAAGGACTCGAGGACACTAATGGCACTAAACAGGAGCATATAAGAGATTGAGTATTGATAATAATTGGACAAAAACTAAACCATTGGTAAGTAAAATGTCAATTTCCATTGTTAAGATTGTCTTCCAATTTGGATCATTTATCTAGCTTAGTTTCAAGAAGTATTGTGTAAAAATTTCAGTTGGTGAACAGTTGTATAATACAATGTAATAAATAAAAATTTCTTTTGAAGATATTATAATCAAATGTGTTATTTCATTTTTTTTATTATTTTTTAGTGAGAAAAAAAGAGGAGAAAACAGTCTCCAAGTCGTAACCTTTTCTTCTGTGATTTCTCGGAGGAATAAAACAAAAAAATGGGTGAGAATCCATGGCAGCCTCTGCTCCAAACCTTCGAGAAACTATCAAACTGTGTCCAAACTCATCTCTCTAATTTCATCGGCATCAAAAACACTCCTCTTTCATCATCCACAATTCAAAACCCCATCTCCTTCGACTCTTCCTCACCAATCGTAACCAACAATTCCAATCTTCAGAAACTCCCTCTCAAGGTACGAAATCTTTTATCCGAAATCTATTCCGACTTCAATTATTTTTCTGGGTTTGTTTCTCCTTCTTATGATTGCCACCAACGTGTTCGATGAAATTCCCCAGTGAACTGTTTCTACCTTTTCTAAACATATATGGTTGTAAAGTTTCTACCTTTTCCATATTGTATCGCATATGAAGCACATTACAACTGGTGTACACTGTCTTGATATGATCATTTGGAAGTTTGTGTAACTAAGCTTTGAAGAAAAGCTGTAATTTTGTATTAAAATTTAAGGTTTCCTTTCGAAAATTTGAAGGGTTTAGTAAGTAACTATGCGAACCCATCTTCGTTTTATTTCATTGCAATAGGTTTTGGTTGATATGAAAACCCATTACTCCATATTCTTTCAGGACAAGTCTACTGGTCCTGTGACTAAAGAGGAGCTTGGGAGAGCTACTTGGACATTTCTTCACACTCTTGCTGCACAGGTTGAGTTTTTGCTTTATGTTTCTCACTTTTAATCGCGATTTACACTTCGGTTGAACACTCGTGGCTATCTTTCTTTACATAATTGACTCATAACCATCCTTGTCATTTACTTATTCTCTACATAGTTGAAACTGCTCTTTGATTCACTTCAGTTCTTGCTTTTGTGTTGCTCTCTGTTTATTGATTTACAGAGTGAAACTAAAGGATTCTGGTTCAACTTCTGTCATTGTTTTACTTGAATCTTATCACATTGATGTGACCTCTAGTAATTTATAAGTAGATGTTTGTGAATCGGTTAAACTCAGGTATGTATTCTGAGTCAGATGGTTTTTTTTTGTTTTTTTCTCATCAGTATCCAGAAAAACCAACAAGGCAGCAAAAGAAAGATGTTAAAGAACTGGTACAATTCTTTCTTGCCCTAGTCTATCATCTTATACGATGTTGAAATTGGTATTAATGAACTCGGAAGCCTTGAAGTTTCAGCTTGGAACTTCTAAAAATTTATCAAGGCTTAAACTTTTCGACTGGTTATTCTTTAAGAACCTGCAATCTCTGAGTGTTCTTCATGTGAAAGCTAATACTGAACATTTTTTTCTGTGTAGATGGCGATACTTTCTCGAATATACCCTTGTAGAGATTGCGCAGATCACTTCAAGGAAATCCTAAGGTAATGTTCATCTTGTAGCTCATTGCATCTTACTGTAATCCTAAGGGTGATCACTCGTTCTCACTTAGTTTGGTTCATGATAGATCGAATCCTGCACAAGCTGGATCTCAAGAGGAGTTTTCACAGTGGCTTTGCCATGTACACAACACCGTAAATAGAAGGTAAAACTGAATGGGAGAGTAGTGTATTGAAACTTTTATGAGGATCTGAAATGAAAAAAAATTGAGAACTTATGATTCATATGTGTGATTCTAAAATTGTTTGCAGTTTGGGGAAATTGGTGTTTCCTTGTGAGAGAGTGGATGCAAGATGGGGCAAGTTAGACTGTGAACAGAGAAGTTGTGATCTTCATGGAACTTCTTCTATGGACTTTTAGACATTAGTATTTTATGAATTTACGACCCATTTATTAACTACTTTTTGTATGGAAAAATTGTTCCAACAAAGTT